GGTGGGGGAATCATAGAGCAAAAAAGGGTATTCTTAAATGCTGCTTTTTTTCAGGGTAATTTAAGTCCACACAATTGCTGTGTTGAAGTTGCGAATCATGGTGAGGAGGGAGAAGTACTGTATGAGCCTTATTTATAGAGTACAATCAGAGGTGATTTTACAATCCCTTTTGCTTGTACAGCACTCACCAAGTCTTGTTAACACTGGTAATTAACTAATTATACCATATTACAGAAGAAGAAAATAGTGCTGCATGCTTTTATTAGGCCTTTGTGTTTTGAAGCTAAAAAGTATGCTTTTTATAAACAATGTTCCCTTAAAATTGTGTGTGATGACAGTAGAGCGGATATATGCCAAATGCAGAACTGTTCCAAACTACCTTTGGAAGACTTGAGCTCAGCCATCATTATATATGAGAAATGTTTGCACCCTGCTCCTTAGGCCTTTCAGCTTCCAATTATGTGAAGAATTCATGATGTTTACAGCACAGAAGGTACTTGTGCCCCCATTCTGATTTAGCTGAAAACTAGTAATCGATGTTAGCTCTTCAATAAAGGTTTATTTGCACATTGTCAATAAACCAGCCTGTATTAACTAATATGAGTGGTGGATCTTGAAATGTTGCACACTGCGTTTCTTGTTGAATTTGATCAGTTAATGGACACAAATACAAAAAAAGTAGAATTGTACAGGTACGTTTATGGATCTAATATAAAAAGTTGTTTGATTTGAGTGCTTTAAGTTGCTGAAATAAAGCACTCTTTGTGAAGGTTTCTTGATTTAGGATTTCAGTTATTATGAAATAAAGTTATGCAAGAACAGTCAGGGTGTTTCTTCCCCCTGGGACACCATGTATAATTTCTTACACATTCAAATTTTGTTACCCCACATTTTTTGCAATGTTTGTATACAGGAGTGTTTCACATTTTCCTTGCCCACATGTTTCTTTTATTGATTGGTATGTGAGATTATACAAATTTGCCATCCCAAGTGGAATTTATCTCATGTGATACTGAAGTATAACTTCATCCATTAAAATTCCACAGAAGCTGTTTAACATGAAATAGCACAAACCACAGTGAAATTAAAGAAATTGGTATTGAGAGATTTTCTGATTTGTATGCTGTTACAAATATGACCTATGAATGTCTGAAGGAAATTTTAAGCATTCTGTTGCCCCAAGTAAAAGTCAAATTACACAATTCCTCCGTTTTGAAAAATTGGGGGATATAGAGAAAAAAGTACTATAGATAAATTATTTTGCTTTTTAGATATCATTAGTCCCATGTTCTCACACTCATATATTAATACTTTTGCCTTTTTTGAACATAAGTTCCTTTTTGGCACTTATTTGTACAGCACTGCAGTGAAATTATAGTAATCAAGCAAACAGCAGAAGTACCATGTTTGAAAGATGACCAGAAGAGTTTTGGTTGGTAAGAGATGAGTTAGAACTACTGCATGCATCCTATTCGTTCAGGGTACAGTCTGTCTTTTTAGTGTGTGCTCTCTGGAGTCAAAATGCCCATCATGTCTTTGATCTGTGCACAGGTGGCTTTCCTGTTCTGTTTTTCCAAGTAAGGAATGCTCTGCATATATGGATTGCCCCATTGAGCATAGTCAGGAATGTTCAAATACATGCACCACAATACTGTGTAGTCTTATACATGGATCATTGTTGTGAAGATCCACTTCCTTTTGTCCAGTTACTAGAGTAGAAGATAAAATCATTTGCTTTTGATGGTGAAGATGGGTGCAAGTGATCATATTGATTCAAAGGAGGGAAAACCACTTTAATCAGTTACTGTCTCTTATTGATTGTGCAAAAAAACTTGTACATGTTTACCTGTAAATACCTTTCATGCTCTAATGCTGATGATAGCAACAAAATTAAATCTAATTTGTAAGTTATATATGAATGTTAAATATCACTTTGTTTTTGGAAGCCACTTAGAAATATGGGACTCCATTCAGTGTGGATTTATGGTTTATGCCATAGAAAATGTTCATTACATTAAAAATGTCATTAATATTCCACCCCTTTATATTGCTTGATATAAAAATGCACTGCAACATATACAACTTTGGAATGTGCACATCTCAATGGTGGAATTTTTGAGGCCATCATGAATTTTAAAAATGCACTACTTTTTAATATCTGATCTTTCCCTTCCCCGTAGTAATCAAGCAACATATTTGGATGCTCTCCAAAATACTTCTGTTTATAAATGCCTGTTTTATATTTAACTGCTATTAATGTTTTTCTTTCACATATAAAATACAATAGCCCCTCCAAGTTTTAATCAGTAGCATAGAAATGGAAAGTCAGATTATAGCAAACCAAAATTAAACCCTGTACTTGGATGTATGATTGAACTATCACGCTAGCTTGTGTGTCTAGGAAGGGAGGGGCCAAGAAAGTAAAAGAAAATGTCTGTGAAATAGATCAAATTGAGAAGTGTGTTTGTGCATTTGTGATATGTATTTTTCCTCATGGCAGATATATGAGGCAAGTATAATTTTCAAAGAGCTGGTCTCAAGTCATGTTTTCTCTCAGTTACTGTATTTTCCAGTTAAGAATCTTCATTTTCCCCTCTTCCTTGATTGTAAACATCTTTAAAATTACTTGGATTTACATATTTTGAAATTAGAGAAATGTTAGACATGCTTTTAAACAGAACAGAAGGTTAAATAAATTGTAACCTTGAGTTGCCAAGTCTTTCATAAAAGGAAAAAAAACAGTGTTGCCAGGTGTAACCATACAGCATGGTATGGTATAGCCAGATGGGATCTCAGTTCCTCTGTTACCTGCCCAGATGCTTTGAGAGAGATGAAAATGTACGCATAAATAAATGCACATTATAGCCAACACTACTTTTGTGTGCTGTATCTGTTTTCCAAACAACTATTCAAAGCTGCCATGTGTGTGAAGTAAATCTCTCTGTTTCTGTTGGTAATGGGAAGGCTTCCTGGCTAGAATCCACTTGAAGAATTACACCACTGTAAGTCCATTGTCATAAATGTCAACATTGACTTGACACTAGTTAAGAAATTGGTGTATTTGCATACCGAGTCACACAACTGGTATGCAACCCCAAATGTCTACCTTGACTTCTTAATGGGAAGCAATTCACCACTGAGATTTATGCCAATTGAATTAAGTACCGGTAATAGGATTCTGGTCTTTGTTTTTAAACAAAGGTGTGAAGGTAATGCAAGAATACGGCATTTAAACATATTCAAGACCTTTTAACAGCCTTTTTTAAAAAGTATGTTCTTTAAGTTATAAAAAAAACCCAGTGTATATGATCTATACTCTAATTTTTGTACTGTTGAAATACTATTTTTCATTATATAACAAATCCATGATCTTTCTTGATCATCTAAATAGAGTGTTTCTTACAGTCTAAATCTCTGTATATTCTGAATGAAACTTACTGTGAGATTACATATGTAAAAGCATTAAGAGTCTATGCATACATGGTACATCCACATTGCCTATACTGAGAGCAGCAGCCTAAAGCAATCCCAATAAACTAAGAAATGTAACTTCCTGCATTTTTAAATTTTTATATGTAGTAAGGAATCCTAAATATTTATTAATTTGTCATCTCAAATGTTTAATTTACTGCTCTGTTGAATGTTTAAAAACATATACATCAAGTCCAGTTTCTTTTTTGATAACTACTTTATTAAATTTCATCTTGCAAGGAAAAATATATTGCCCTTATAGTTTTCCAGTGAATCTTTGCCACTAAGACAAAGATAAGTTGTAGTATCTTTGCACAAATGGCAGCTTGACATTTTTGAAGATTAGATGTTTTCAGATTATGGTGTTAGGGGATGTAGAAATGTATGTATCTACACCTAATGTAAGCATGTACAGTTGCGCCTCGCTTTACGATTGCCCCGCATTACGATGAAACCGCATTACGATGATCTTTTTGCGATCGCAAAATGATGGTTTAAATGGTTTTTTTTCGCATTGCGATGATCGGTTCCCTGCTTCGGGAACTGATTCTTCGCAAAACGATTTTAAAACAGCTGATCGGCGGTTTCAAAATGGCCGCTAGGTAAACAAAATGGCTCCCCGCTGTTTTCTGGGACGGATTCCTTGCAAGACAGGCAGCAAAAATGGCTGCCCTATGAAGGAGCTTCGCTGGACGGTAAGTTTTGACCCCATTAGAATGCATTGAAGGGGTTTCAATGCGTTTCAATGTTTTTTTTGTTTTTGTTTTTGCTTTACGATGTTTTTGCTTAACAGCGATTTTCCTGGAACGGATTATCGCCATTAAGCGAGGCACCACTGTAGGAGAGTAATTCACACCCAGTCCTATTTAGCTGTCCAAAAGGCACCTGTATCTTCTTGGATTATCTAAATAAGCAATTTAGGTGACTTTTTAAAAAAGCACCCTATCTTTTCATAACCATATTACACTTTTGCTACGTGGGATTCAGACTTTCACATTTCAGTCATGAGCTTCAACTTACCAAGAACCAGTTTTCTCTTTGAGTTCGTGTAGAGATGACACTGGCTATCTCTTCAACATGAGCTGAGATGAGGAGGAGCTTTTAGATCCTTCAGCAGTTTTCACCAGCCATCCTCCCATGCATGGTTTCTTGTAAAATATTAGCTGAAACCTGGCATATTTTATCAATCATATGAGATGTAAAATGCAAGATTTACTTTGAGAACCTGTACCTCCATTTTTCACAGGAGTAATGTAACTTGGACAATCTTACGTTACTTTGTTATTCTATGTAATGCATGTCACCAACAAACCAACATTTGCAAACCTGCCGGTGAGGGCAGCATCCTTTCTTAAAACTCTTTCTGAGCTATCCCAACACTGTGATGTTGCAGTTGTTGGAAAGGTTATTTGTGATGCAGTCCATGAGGCTGGTATTTGAAAAAGGCATGTTGGTAGCTTTTAAGTGTTTATACAGATGGGCAGATGTTTTTGGATTGCAACTCTCACACACAGCCATCGTTGACTATGGTGCTGCCTAGGGCTTATGTTGGCCAAAAGTATTTGGAGGGCTATAGTTGCCTGTCTTGGCTGAAAGTAATGCATATGGAGTTCTTTTGATCGTGGCCTGTATTTCTGTGGACCCCAGATATTTGGTAGCAGCTCCATTCCCCCCCCCCCTTTGGGGAAGTATTGTGAGTCAAATATGGCATTAGTCATATTGTGTATGTGGGCTTTAACATCTTCCTTTCCCTTAGATTTTGTTTGTTTTTTTGTTTTTTGCTAGCAGGAAAGAAGAACAAACCTATGTCTCTACATTGTTTGATTGCTACCACTGGCTACTTCAAACAGAACATCTTATGCACAGATGCTCATTTCTGATCACACAGGGAAAAAGCTGTTTCTGTAGTTGCTGCTGTATTTCACTTAATAGTCTCAATCCACAATTCATGACAGCCATATCTCTGCACATCTTGTTCGCGCAATCCATTCTCAACATAAATTTATAAATAGCATAAACTGAGGTAAAATACCTTTGAGCCAATTGTCTAGATGGTGGTTGTATCCTGTTATAACTTCATTCTATTCACATTTATTTTAATGGTACAAATATACTTTTATTTAGCTATATAGTACTAGAAAAAACTTAAACAGGGTTTGATAAGAATGGTGCAAAATACACTGATGTCTGACGATCAGTCAATTTTAGATGCTTTCTTCTATGCAGCCAAGGTAAACGTGACTGATGATGTTAATATCCACATGTTGTTCATCATTTGAAGTATGATGGATTCATTATTCCCAGGCAATAATAACTTTGTTGAAGTTAACAAAAACTCCTTTATTAGGTTCACTGGAAAACAAATGTTGAAAATCAGTCATGTGCATATAAGCCAATGACATAATATCTTAATGAAATACGGAGTTTCCTGTTAATGGGGAGTGCAATTGCTATTCTAGTGGCACATTAAAGCTTTAATGAAATAAGAGGAGAGGTAATACATATCTTTGGTCTGGATGTTGTAACTGAACAGTCAGCCAAATTTTGGGAAGGAAATTAAGATCATGTGATTCTATGATTCAGAGTCACAGGCAGAATTCCAGAGTTAATGATTTGACAAAATAAATTTCTAATTCTTTTACTTGTGGAAGAAGCAGAAGTCTGTGGGGCTCAGGTATATGGATCCTATGTCTCCTTGGTTCAGAAAAAAACAGCAAGCTTGAATCTAAAGAGGTCTGAGTAATGTAGTATGACTAGTTAGATGCAATTAGGGCATTTTCTTTATTTTCATAGCCCAGTGTTCTATTGCTAGCTCCAACTAAAGTAGACTCTTTGGCTCAAATAGGATTTACAGAAATGTTAACATTCAACAATTGATTCACTTTTGTGGGGTGGGGCTAGAAGAAACTGCTAGTGTAAACAGATGTCTTCAAGGATTCCTTTTAAGTAGGCTAATATTCTGTTCCTATTTTAAGTATAATTGACCTTTTCTGAATTTCTTGTTGTTTCATTCTTCAGTAAATACACTGAAGGACATGGCAAGAAGCTGCAGATTTAGAACTATGCAAGAGAATACAACCACAGGGCATTGGTTTGTAGTGCAACCCTGGCAAAGGTGATTCAGATATGGGTCTGTTCTTAGGCTCACTCACGCTGTGGAGCACACACTAGAACTGCTTTTTTGTTGTTTGTACTGAGCAGGATGATAGATCTTGGAAGAACTATTTTATAGTGGATCCAATCCTTCCTGTAGGGGTGAAGGACTTTTCTGTGGCAGCCTGGCAGTTGGCCAGTGAGCTCCCTCAGGGTTCAATTCTGTCCCTATGCAATTTCACATATACATGAAACTTGTAGGAAAGCTACAGATTTTTTTTGGTGGGGGGAGGCTGGTGCCACGAGTATGCAAATGACACTCAGCTATGTTTATTGCTTCCATCTAAATCTAATGAATTTGTTTCAGCTGTAAGCCAGTAATGGTTTGATGTCAATAATGGACTGAAAGATAGAAAAGAAAGTGAAGCGTATATTAGACAAGAGATAAATCCTACTAGTGTAGATCAGAGAATAGAAGCTTAACCTGTGCTGAATGGGGTTACACCCCACTTGAAAAATCAGGTCTGTAGCTTGGACAAGCTTCTTAACCTTTAGCCTGGACTGTTCAGCCCCCAGTCACATGGAGAACCAGGTTACTTGGAAGTCAGTTAATGGGCTGTCGAATGGAGTTGGCAGAATCAAGGTGAAGCTAAGAAATGGAAATAGTGGTGGTTCACTGTCAGTTCTTTGTGAGTGTGGAGAAGAGGAGGCAACTACACATCTGTGTCAGTATATTCTGTGTCCCTCAACATGTATTATGGAAGACGATGTTAGCTGCCCTAAATGTTCTTGATTTGCCAGTGATTACGTGAATATGTTGTGATATATTTATTAATGGTACTGGGCTGCTTGTGACATGAACAAAGGAAGATAATTCTGGATTTAAAATTTACAAATAATAGACCCAAGTGCCCAAAATGAAGTGATTTGGATACCTTTACAAATGAACAGCTAGCTTATAAAACAGTGTCAGTTAGAACAACTATATTTCTGAGCTTTGTTATGTCTCTAGTGAAATGCATACCAATTTTTCAACAGGATTTTCATAACTTTATATTAAAGGCCTACTGGGAGGAGGTTGATACAAACAACAGCAGGAAAACATGAGAAGTTATCACTTTTTAATAGCTTTAATTCTAGAGCATATAGCAGTAGTGAAACACTGAGAGCTGAAGCAAATCTTTAATCACTAATGTTTAGTAAAGCCTTTACAAGTATTATTAAAAGTGTAATTATTATTTTATATTATATATTATTTATATTATGCTGTTATTTTATTGGCTGGATAACTGAGTGAGTTGGGCTGGGAATTTAAATCTCCACCATGCTGGCTGAGAGAAAATCCAGCCTCTGTAGCTTTGGGCAAGCTGAGTCACAGAAGGGAACCCAAACTACTGTATTTTTGATTACCTAATACACAGAAAAGGCTGCTGTATATTGTAGTCAATTTGACTGCATGTTGTTGTTCTTGATAAGAAGCAACAGTTAAACAAAACACTGAGAAACAGAATGGTTCCTTGTAGGCAAAGGTGTCATAAAAGGTGTACAGTACTTTATCTCCTTATCTATTCAGTCTGTATGTTGAATGTATTATACAGAAAGATGAATCAGCTTCATATGAAGGAGTGAAAATTGGTGGGAAGAATATAAATAATTTAAGACAGGCAGATGATACCACATTACCAGCAGAAAACTGCCAATCCATTTCCAGGTGCAATTCAGAGTACTGGTTTTAACCTGTAAACCCTAAATGGATTGCGTCCAAGCTATTCTAAAGACTGTATCTCCCTCTCTATGAGCCTACCCAGCTGTTAAGATCATCAGGTGAGGCTTTTCACTCAGTCCCACCATCCTCTCAGGTGTGCTTAGTGGGGATATGGGAGAGGGCCTTCTCTGTTGCTGCTCCCAGACTCTGGAACTCATTCCCACAGAAAGCCAGACTAGCCTCATATTTGCTGTCTTTCCGTAAGCAGGTGAAGACCCTGCTCTTCAGGCAAGCTTTCATTAGGGACTATCTAGGAGATAATAAATGGGATGGCTTATATTTTGTTGTTTCTAAATCTGTTCATAGTAGTGCTTTATCTAACATTCTTAATAGAATGTTTTCAGTTGTGTTAATATTTGAATAATGCACTTTTTAACATTAATTTTTTTAATGATGTAAGCCATTTTGGGTCCTTTTCTCAGAAGAAAGGCAGCGTAAAAATATTTTAAGCAAACAAATGGCAGCAATGACTTTAAACAGTTATTTATGAAGTTGAAAGAAGAAAGTCATGTATGTAGCAAAAATCCAAATTCTGAGAGGTTTATCAATAAAAAGATAACTTTGGTTCTAATTCATTAACACTTTTAATGTATTGTTTCTGTGGTAAAGATTATATGCCACATATTAATCCCATTTTCTTCTTTCTATTGAATGCTTTTGTGTAGAACAGTGGTACTAAGTACTGTATTTTGCTGAGACTTTGTGTTGTATTATGCTTCAACAGTTGCCTTGCTTTTCAAACCCACCTATTCAGTAGCACACATTTGCTGTTAATATTATGCATTTGGTATAGTTAATCATATAGATATGATGGTGGTCATAACTGGAATTTACTTTCCTTTCTCCTCACTTAACAGGAAGTTGGGTCTCAAAACTAGAGTGCTTAAAATAAGAACAATCTATACGAAACGTAAGGTTAACATTTACCAAAGAAAGTAGCGTGTTCCTTCAAAAATTCCATCATGCCTGCCCACTTGATCACCTTCCAGTTCTATTCCAAGATAACTATCTTCTCTTCCAAATAGTGGTCCTAAATATTTGATAGTTCCTTTGCTTATCTTTCCTGCTGGGCATGAAAATTTCACCAGGTTTCCAACTTTCAAATCTGCAGTACTTCTGGGTGCAAATGGTCTTCTTGAGGTATGAGATCTTGGGTAAAATAGCAATAGATAATCAGTAATGGAAAAATAATTATTATAAATAATATCTTTGAAAGATAGAAGATATATATTTTATACTTCTCCAGAACTTTATTCAGAATGTTTATCATAACCTTATAATCCACTACAGTATATTTTTACAAATAAACTAGACATGACAGGGAGATTCTAGAACTAAGTCTCCCGATCTACCACTTTGTAGATAAACAAAATTGAATTGGAGCTGTAGTGGGAATGAAGGTCTGCCCTTTCTCTCTCTGTGCTAGTTCCTTGATTTTGTATGGAAGCTTGTCTCCCAATCTGATACATCAAGCACTAGACCCTTTCCAGATAAAGATCAGAATAAAGGGTACAGGGCTAGTGCCTCCCCATCAAGATCATCCCTCTCCCTTGCTGTTCCCCACAATCACAAGTTCTAGGTGTATACCATCGTAGCTCATCTGGCATTTAGTTTGTGATCACCATGATGGCTTACAGCAATGGTCCCCAACCTTTTCCAAACCGTGGACCGGGTGGGTGGGTGGCTGGGGCACCCATGTGGGGGGGGCAGTGCATGTGTGCATGGGGGGTGTACATGTGGGGGGTGGGAGATCTGCCTTGGTGGCCTGGTCCCGCCAAGGCCCTGGCCCAGTACCAGGCTTATAGCAGTGGTCCCCAAACTTTTCCAAACCAGCAGAAGCTTGTGCTGGTATATATTTCCAGCCTTGCTTCTTTCAAGCCGCTGTGAAGCATGATATCATTTTACAAATTTTTTATCTTTACCAAATATGCTGATGGCTGTTAGCCACCTTAAGCTCCCAATTATGGATACCCGCCAAGGCCCTGGCCCGGTACCAGGCATATAGCAGTGGTCCCCAAACTTTTCCAAACCAGCAGAAGCTTGTGCTGGTATATATTTCCAGCCTTGCTTCTTTCAAGCCGCTGTGAAGCATGATATCATTTTACAAATTTTTTATCTTTACCAAATATGCTGATGGCTGTTAGCCACCTTAAGCTCCCAATTATGGATATAAATGTGGGATAAACATTTTTCCAAGAAATGGGTAGTTTTTAAAATAATGATGGCATAAACATACATGCTATTTTATACTCGGCACATGTTTCTTGCAAGAAGTGTCAAAACCCTCATGAGGAAAATTGGTTTTGAGTAGCCCGATTCCGTTCTCCACCCCCCATGAGTGCTCATTTTGGATTGTATCATCATCATTATCAAGCTTTGTCCATTTTGCCTCGGGTGACCCTTCTAAGGAGTCTTAACTCATAACAGAGTCTTAGCTGCTTTGATGCCATTGTGTTCCCTGAAACATAAAACCCCTCACCACCAGAAGCTGAAAACGGCAGGAAAAGAGGAAAACTAAATACGAGATTAATTGACTTAATAAAGGAAGCCACAGTTTAATTTCACAAGATCTGAGCAATACAGTGGTGCCTCGCTTAGCGATTGCCTCGTTTAACGATGTATTCGGTTAGCGATGAGGTTTTTGGAGTGATCTTGCGCTCCATTTAGCGATGTTTCCAATGGGGAAATTTCGCATAGCGATGTTCGGGACCTTGCTTTGCTTAGCGATGACAGTTTAGGTCCCCTGTTTCGCTTAGCGATGTCCGTTTTCGCTATTTTAAGTGTGTCTTAAAATGTTCAAAAACTGTTTAAAATGCTTGGAATCGTTAGTGCACCCTGTAAAACCTTTGCAAACTTAATTTGGCTTTATTCTGAGTCTTCATTAATTTTTGGTGATTTTCCCCCCCATTGGAATGCATTGAACTGTAGGTTTGACAGCTGAAATCTTTCTCTTAAAATCATTATTACCTAAACAACTCTGGGAATTAAACTTATTAAGAGCTGTCTACAGTGTTGGCAAAAAGCCTAGAACAATGAGCTTGAACACTCTGTGGTAGTTTTAAACTTATAAATTGTTTTCACATCCCTTTTCTTCCTGAGAACAGACTGAAGCACAGACAAATTAACCCTGGAAAGTCTAATCCTGCCAAAGTGGAAATTTTAAACTGCACTTTGCTGAGATCTGAACAAAGATAATTCATCTTGGAATATATATCTAGCTAATGTAGACAAAAAAAGAATATTTGGATGTATCCTGGATTCTGAACTTGCCCGCAACACAGGCCAGGATAGAATTAATATTCGAATGGACCACAAATCGGGGCTGGATTACAAAATACATTGGGTCATGAATACAAACATCAAGTGAACTGGACTGTCACTTTACATCTGAGATTGGATTCAAATTTATCACTAAAGATGATCAATCTATTAAAGTGAACTTATTGAAGCAATTATTGATTGGACTGGATTGATTACTTCAAGCAACTAGACATCTTTCACTTGGAATGCAATTATTTGACATCTGGGGACATAATGCTACAACAAGGGAAATTTTGGAATGAAACAAAATATACTCTTTGAGCAATTTTAGAAATAGTGAGATTCCACAATGAAGAGGTAAAATCATTCAATGAGCAATTAAGGAAGGACTATATTCAACAGGAGACAGGGAATAATGAATAAGGAAATATGAGGGTGATAGATGATTTATTGGAGATAGATCAAGTGCATAAAATGATCCCAGACGATACAAGGGATGGCAGAATTTTTAGAGAGAGAGGAATAAAAATTGAGAAAAGACAAACAAGAGGAGTTACATAGAAAAGATGTAAAGGAAAAAAATACTAAGGTGGCCCCTCAACATTGAAACATAGGGACATGGTGGCACTGTGGGTTAAACTGCAGAAACCTCTATGCTGCAAGGTCAGAAGACCTGCAGTCATAAGATCAAATCCATGTGACGGAGTGAGCTCCCGTTGCTTGTCCCAGCTCCTGCCAACCTAGCAGTTCGAACACACGCAAATAGGAGTAGATAAATAGGTACCACCATGGTGGGAAGGTAACAGTGTTCCATGTCTAGTCGCACTGGCAATGTGGCCACGGAAACTGTCTATGGACAAACGCTGGTTATAGGAAACAGGGATGAGCACCGCCCCCTAGAATCGGACACGACTGGACTAAATGTCAAGGGGAACCTTTACCTTTACCAATGTTGAAAACATCTATACACCTAACTTCTGGAATTGTAAGGAAGCATATCATTATATATTAGAAAAGGGAATTAAACTGAAATAAGGGATCACTAATTAGGGTAAAGGCATAACATGGTGGTTCTTAAGGTGAGGTAAAACAAATATTACTTAACATATATTAGATATGATATTGAAATAGACATGACAGAAAATGTGGATATAGAAATGGCTAAATAATTATACAGTCATGCCCCGCTTTACAATGAAACCGCTTTACGACAATGTTTTTGCGATCGCATGCTTTACGATGAAACCGCATTACAACAATGTTTTTGCGATCACAACATGATGGTCTGAATAGGCTTTTTTCGCTTTGCGATGATAGGTTCCCTGCTTCGGGAACCGATTCTTTGCAAAACGACGATTTTGCTACAGCTGATTGGCAGTTTCAAAATGGCCGCTAGGTAAATAAAATGGCTCCCCGCTGTTTTCTGGGACAGATTCCTCGCAAGACAGCCACCAAAAATGGCCGCCCTATGGAGGATCTTCGCTGGACGGTGAGTTTTTAGCCATTGGAACACATTAAATGGGTTTTAATGCGTTTCAATGTGTTTTTTTTCACATTACAACATTTTCGTTTTACAGTGATTTCGCTGGAACGAATTAAGGTTGTAATGCGAAGCACCACTGCATAAAGAAAATCTATATAAACTGCTTTAAATAACAACTATGCATTAGGAATTTAGTTATTGGTATAAAATACAAAGTTGGTTGGTTAAATTGCCTCAAAATTATATAGATTTGAAACTAGAATTGCTTTTATTAAGTATTTACTAGAGGGTTTTGAGAACATTGTATAGTGATTAAATCAACAAAATGCAAAAATAGAGAATTATAAGCAAACCAATGTAACACAATGTTTAAGAAGCATGAATTGAATGTAGATATAGTGAAAAACTAATAAAATGTTATTTAAAAAATACAAGAACTAACAGTCTCTCTATAGTTGTGCTACCTCCATTCTAGCAAGAACACCAGCAAAGGATAATATGCCTGCCTTCAACTGGTAAGTAATCTATTAACAACTCATCTTGTCTGGCACTGTTAAAGCTATCTCTGTCTCCATTCCCTTGTGTGTCTTCTTTACTTCCTAAGTTGAAGGACAGGAATATGTCTTATGTTCATTTATTCACAGTTCCTGCCACCAGCACTGTATACTGAATTAAAATAGTTGCATTGGGAGACAATCTATGAGAAAGGAAGGGGATGTAATACATAAGAAGTATTTACCCTGTTCTGAATCAGACCAATGGTCTACTCAGTGAGTCTCTGCTTTTCGAACCCCAATCTTTGAAAAAGAATTTCCAGAATATCTGATTCTTATCCATGTTGGCTGCAGCTTTTGAGAAGTCCAGAACATCTGAATGGCCAAAGGTTGAGGATCATTGGTTCATTTAATTCACTGCTTTCTTTCTGGGTGACAGGAGCTCTGCAAAATCTCAAAGAGGTCCTCCCTTGTCTTGCTACAATGGCTCTTTAATGGAATCTCTGGCAATTCCAGTCTTCTTGTTGTTGTTTAGTTGTGTCAAGCTCTTTAATGGAAGCTTTGGCAATTCCGGTCTTGTTGTTGTTGTTGTTTATTTGTGTCCAACTCTTCGTGACCCCATGGACCAGAGCACGGCAGGCCTTCCTGTCTTCCACTGCCTCCCAGAGTTGGGTCAAATTCATGTTGGTAGCTTCGATGACACTGTCCAAACATCTCGTCCTCTGTCGTCCCCTTCTCCTCTTGCCTTCACACTTTCCCAACAGAACTTGCTAAATGTGCTTTACAGCTGTGCTTCTGTCCCTCCTGCTACAAAGTAGCCATGTACTGCAACACAGCTAGTTGCTCAAATACTCTTTCTTTCACATCCTTTTTAGACTAGAATTGGCAGACTTAAATATGCATGCATGATGAGTCCTTGAAGGGTATATATCCATAATGAGTTTTATTTATTTATTTAATTTATGTCCTGCCCATCTAGACCAAAGTCTACTCTGGGTGGCTAACAACAGAATTCTAAAGATATCGAATGATTGCTGGGATATATGAGCATTAAACTACAATTTGAGCTGGTACTGAGACTCCACAACAGGAATGCTTGATGTCTATAATGACTGCTTTACATAAATAGAAAATTTAAAAAAACATTCCATTGAGAAAAGCATTAGAAATATCAAAACTACCTAATTTTTATGCACAGTTTTTCAGTGGATTCGTAATCTTTTGCCTGTTCTATGAGGCTGCTCACTACACTGTGTTCCCTGTAAACATCTCTTAATTTTCTGAGATGATTTTGAAGTCTCCTTCAACAAGAAATTTCTGATAGTTTTCTACAGCTAACAAAAACTACAGGGGATAAAAAAACATATTTAACTAAATTAATTATAGGTATTTTATTTCTTACCTCTTTGGAGAGTATCTGCTTGTAGTATCCGCTTGAGACAAACTGACTAATGTTGAAATTACATCTTGCTTAGAGTTTGCCTTGATTGTTTCTTTATACAGATTAATGTCAGAAGCATTGTTGCCAATCCCTGTTATGGTTTCCTCTGACAAATCATCTTGATAAAACATGAAAAGAGATACCAGAGAAATTAGCATCATGCTTAGGTGCAACACACAGTTATTTGAGTCTGGTCCCTACAGGTGGATGCTCAGGAGCCATTCTCTAATTTATATTAAGAAGGGTAAACTGAGAAGCCTTTTATTCTCCAAAATACAAACAGTGCATCAATGGGAAAAGGACATTATCCTTGTAGAAATTCCAACGGCATGTCAATAAATACTGAAGTTATAAAAACCTAGACACTGATTTGATAGCATCAACAAATTCTAATGTGAACATGATAAGAAAAATGTAATTTTTATCCAGGTAATGGCTAACCTTACGGCTGTCATGGTTGGGCACAATCAATGGCCTTCCATAGCCCAGAATCGCTGTCAACCTTGCCTCTGCAGTGGGTCCTTTTCTGGGACTGCTGCATGTCACTGCCAACAGTCACTCTCCTCTCCCAGGATGTATTTCCCTGGCAGCACTAGTTGTGCTTTTGAACAGGAGCTGAGCTGGTGCTAAACTGGTGGCCACCTAACTTGCTGGATTACCAAGCATGTAATGTAATGTTAGGTCAGCCCAATAAGGATGGGAACCAACTATTGACCGGAACTAAACGAGAGATTGCATCTTATTTTAAAAAATTGTACTAGTAACAACACACAGCTGCCACCTACCTGGGAAATATGCAGTGGGTGTGAGGAATGAGGAGTGGTGCCCTCACAGCACAGCACCTGTTTAGTTCCTTTTCAAAAACTCTTTACGTTGTTGCCTGCTGAGAAAACATCTGGAGCAGGAGGAGAGGGACTTGGCACTGCTGAATAACTCAGCCACATCTCTGAGGCACAAAATATCATGGGGAAAGGCATGGGTTAAAAAAAAACCCAGACAGAGCCAGACTGGTCATCTTGGTTATGTGTGCTCTCCTACCTAGGACTGTTTTTAACGTATTATTACTAAATCTGTTACACTTTGCTCCGTCAGTATTCAACATGATCTAACATCTCCAAACTAATGTTAATGAGGCTTTCACTCATTGAATGCCATCAAGCATCATTCTGCCCTCTTCAGTGAGCACATAATTGTGCATACCAACCTTCCCATAAGAAAAGAGGCAAGTATAGATCTTTAACAAAAGATTGGCTCTGTACACAATCACATCTTCTTAGGTTACCTGGAGATGTACTTTATTGACAGAACACTATAGAAACTATACCTGAATGTATCCTGTGAAGAAAATGTTCCTTGCTGCACCCCACTCCAACCTTAAGTTTGTCAAACATCTGAATTTTCTCTTGAGAAATCATTAACAAAAGCAAGTATGTACAGTACTTATATTTCTTTGAGATGCTACTGGTGTTGGATCACAAATATCCTTGTATATCAACTTTATGGGGTGCCTTCTCTTCCTTTCACTCTGTTTTGGACAGGTGGGCCTGATACCTTTAGTTTTAACACAGCTGCTTGCTGTTTTGTGAAATGTAATGTTCATGCCTTTTGCTAACTGCCTTCGGTGTAGGTCTTTTAGTTTATCCTTATTGGTCCAGCCTCTTACAACATTGTGTCTTTCAGTTTTGCATCGCAGTTCGCCATTTCCTTTGTTTTTGAGGCTATACCATATACTTCTCATTTGTGTTATCACATCTCAGATTTCTTCAAATTTAATTGTGCATCCCCTGTCTGTAACTTGACTCACTGATATACGCCCATTTTCATTTCTGGCACATCATTGCACATTATGTCTTTGGGACTTTCTCAGATCAAAATTGCTTTTGTAGCTCCTTCTAACTTGTTCATGACTCTTTTATTTTAGATATGTAAAAAGATCTATCCCCACCTGTTTTGAGACTCCTTAATCCAAACAGAAAGTCTGTTCTGTTCCCTCTGTATGTATCACTTCTAACTTTCTGTGTATAGAACTATATGTGTATCTTTATCTTTCCATTTACATGTGTGGTTTGCCTGCACATTGGGACAATCCTCTTTCAAATTAGAACCATCACCACATAGAAAGGACTGTTTTGAGCTTTAACACTTCCTTGTCGTTGCCAAATCTCTTTGTACTGTCTCTTTTAAAAGTTTGGTTTTGTAGTAGCTGCAAATCTGTGTTCCTTCTGTGTCTGTTATAAGGAAGCAAATGTTACTAGAGATCTTGGATGCTGCTACTTCCTGATCCTCACTCAAAACTTCTGTTTCCTTTAAACTGTTCAAATTCCAAGAATTCAGTAAAGTGGGATTGGAATGAGTATCTTTTTTTCATCTTTATCTTAAAAAGAGATCTCTGCAACAGAATGCAACCACATTCTTCTTTTGCATACACTAATTTTAATGCCTCTTGCATTTTTTCAGTGGCATTACACATGTCCAACGTGGTTATTGCTCTCCACAGAAATAATGTTGTCTTATGTTGTGGTCTTTTTCTTCAAATTCAATTCTTTTCAGCTTCTACTGTATGTCAGTTAGAAGGTCTCTTGTTAGGACATCAAGCTTTATTTATTTATTTGGTGGAGATACAGGGGGTCACTCCTCTAGAAAAAAAAAGGGTGAGATATCTCTTCTGTTCTCTCCCAGAGAATGTCAAGCAAGAAATGTGAGAAGAGCAGGAAGTGACATCAGCAATCCTAGGAACAGGACTGGATGTAGATTGAATGAAGATCGGAATAGGTAGTCTCTTTGTCCCCATGCTTCTTTTTCAGAGTTGTACCCAGTCGTCTCCAAAACTGTGGACTCTGGATTCTTGGAGGTTCATGATGCCAAATCCCCAGATGTCCATGTTCCTGTGCCCAGTCATGGAACCTCAGTGATGCAGGAAGCCAAATCCCAATTGAATGTAGCTCAGTGCTCAAACTGGGCTGAACCACCTCCCCCTCCACAAGAATGATGCAAGATAGAGACACAAGCTAGGCTAGAAGCTTCCAGATGAAGTGCTCAACTGCTGGGAAAAATCTCCTTATGAGAAGTGGTTTCTTCCAAAATAGGGCTGAAAAAAAGCTGCTTCTTTCAGGGAAACAAGTGGGTCAATCCCTGCAAATCAGCTTTCCTACTAGTTGGTCAAATACCTGCAGCTAATTTCATTGCAGCAGTTCAGCAGTATTCAGGTCACCTTAAAGACTGGGGACTAGTCCCTGTCTAGTCTTGGACCTTTAAGCATAAAATAACTTTATCCTTTAGATAAAACCTTCAGTTGTTCTACAGAAGGAAGAATGGAAATAATGGGCATTGTTTCCATTCTTTCTACTGAGGAAGAGTAGAAGATTTTGTCTAAAGGAGGAGAGGAAAATGTTTCCACTGTGGCATTTGAGAAAGAACTGAGCCCAAGAGCACTACCTTGAGAATGGGCACCAAAGTGGTGGTGGTGGTGGATGGCCAGCCAAAATGCCATCCTAGGACTGAAACCTTTGTAACAATAATCTGTGCATATCTGTTACCCTTGCCAGTAACTGCACAGAAGCCATACAGAATCCGATCTCACAACAACTTTGCAAGTATTGAAAACAGTTCTGTCAACTATTCAACATTTCTTAAATATGGAGGGAAAGTTACCATGGGAATAGACAGTCATCAGTTTTGAGGTAACTAATTTTTATCTACCCAATATAACCTGTGTCTGAATTATGGGCAAGCCCATAACTTTTATTTTGGACTCATATTGGCATATTATCTGGGGAAGGCTCTGGGTCAGAAAGATAATCAATAAATTCCAAACTACCGGGATAAACATTTTAAACAAATCTCTTTGTTTTAAAGGTATAGCTTGTTATTCCCTTATCATGTAATCAGAACCTAGAAAAATTAAATAAATGAGTTCATGATATGAAGGTCAGCTTAGGCAAACATATAGTATAGCCTTAGATTTGTATGAATGCAAGCAAGCCCGATATAATACTGAAATTTTGAAAATGCTAATTTTGATTGACGTACCTTTTAAGCCACCAGTTTCTTTTGCTAGCCCTGTGTCTTGGTACCCAGCAATCAGAACATCTGTAGACTCACTGTTTAAGGATGATGGAGAAGTATTATTCCTAGAATGTTCATGCCGCCTTTCTAAATAAAAACAAGACTTGCTTATATCTGAATCTGCTTGTTAAAGTATTGTTGTTTTACTGAAGTATCATCTAAACATATCTATAGTAAATCAGAGTTTCAAACTCAGATCAAATCCACTGTTGATGCAGTCCAATAAAATTTTCCTGATATAAAGCAGTGATGCTAAGTTTCTAATCATTAAAAAGCTGTAAAACAATGTATGCATGAATAAATTGCTGTTGGTGAATGCCTTCCAGATTTATGCCGTCTCCTTTTAAAATATGATCCTTCGTAAATATTACAAAGAGGAAAACGCTTTACTACTAAGAATCCATCAGATAAAACTGTCATCCTTAGCCTTAATATAGTGTTTAGGTAGAGAAATGAAATGAAATGAGTGACGCTAGATAGGAATTGGAAAAGTTTAATGTTAACTGGATGCACTAATGGCTGGCTATAGTGTGGTCATAATAGGATTTCAGTTATAGGAAAATTATTTTATATGTATCATGATCCCAAGTTGCTTTGACTCCAGTAGAGACATGCATGACTATTTCTGTAGTCATGCATCTGCTCTCTGCTTACCAGTTAACCCTGACAGTGTTAATGGCCTGTTGAAATACTGAAGAGGAGTATTTGCTGGCCAAGACCTGAAATTCATCAGCAAATACTCATTCTCAGTATTTTGTAATGTAAAAAGAATATTGGATTCTGATAAAATTTAGTGTTTTCTTATTGGTTGTAACATTTTAATGTTTGGGTCAAATACCTTTGGACTTAAAGATATGATAAACAATGGTTGAGAATGAGCATGAAGACATTTTTGTTATGTGCTATCAAATCGTTTCCTTCTCATGGCAAATCTAATGGGGTTTTCAAGGTACGTGAAATGTTCAAGGAATAGTTTACTACTGCCACCCTTAGTGAGCTTTCATGGCTGAGCAAACATTTGAAACTAGGTTTCCTGAGTGCTAATCCAGCACCTGTTCACTATAACACCATGGCTGCTAGGTCTGAGATTTATTTATTTATTTATTTATTTATTTATTTATTTATTTATTTATTTCCCGCCCATCTGGTCTATACGACCACTCTGGGCGGAGATGTTCAAGAAGTGGTTTGCCACTGCCTCTGTTGCCACCCCCCCATTTGAATTTCTGTGTCTATGCAGGGTTTTTACCAGGGACTCCTAAATCCTAGTGTGATATTCAATCCAGTAGTGGATTAGGTATCTGTCCGTGGAGCCAGAAGTTGGGAGTTAAATTCCCCACTGTGCCTGCCAGGAAAACAGCCAGCCTGTGTAGTCATGGACAAGTTGCACAGTCCCAGGATGACCCAGAAAAAGGGAATGGTACACCACTTCTCCCTGGTAAACCCTGAAAAGGCTTGCCATATGTCAGAATTTAGTTGACTACACACATTCATTACTATTATACTACACTGGTCCCCTCACTGTACCTCTTCTACTAGTACATGATAATGTACTATGTTTTCTATGAAAGAAAATACATTTTCTAAGTAGTACATTTCCAGTTCCAGGGTTTATATATACAATCAAAGCAACCTGGGACAATTAGGGTGGCAGTACGTTTCTGAATGTGAACATATATCAGGAAGATTTACCTTCACCCAAAGTAATAGCAATTCATCTCTTTTATGCCTGGCTTTGGTGTACTGGCCACTGGAGTTTATTCTTCTGCCATGTTTTAGAGCCTTATGTCTTACTTATGAGTGGAATTTTTGAACTTTTATTGCATGAAAGAATTATTGTGGAACTGGCTTGCCCACAACTGGACCTCCATAATTCTAGTTGCTGCTTGTCACACGAGTGCTTCTTGTGCAAAGGGATAAATGCATAAGAAAACTCCCATTTCTGTTTAAAAGCCAAGTATTATTGTTCAATGTATCCCCTGGGGATACTTAATTTCCAGGTTGATCTGGTACTATAAAGCAAATGGCACATAGGAAGATATGATGAGCTATTTGATTCCATCTTCCTAATTCCATAAATGGCAGTAGGGCATATTATAAGCCATGCACAAAAGGGACTTCATGTGGTTTTGCTGTAGTCAATTTAAAAGAACCAATGGTAATGAAGTCCATGTAATAGGTGCTTGTATCTTTAAAGAACAAACATTCTGGGTTGTTCATTCAGCTTCTAAAGAATCCGATCAATATATTATAAAATTAGTGTTCCTTTACCATCCTGTTTGCCTGTAATTGTATGAGTTAGCCATTCATATTGCCTCTTTACATCCCGTAGTTCTTCTTTCAGTCTGTGGTTCTCCTCATTCAAGTGGTGACTGATTTCCCTCAGCCTCCTGGATTCATCCCTTAGCTCACAAATCTCTTCATGCAGGACCTGCTCATAAGTATCTATTGGACCATATCTGTTCTGTATCCTGTTGATCTTTAAAGGGGAAAAATAATTTAAACTGTGTTTCAATAAATTATGAATCTTACAGCATGAGGGAGGCAAAAAAAAGAATACAAGTGTATATATTTTAAAAAGAAATTATTTCAAGCATAATCTATCACTGCTGAACTGTTGTAATTTTCCAGGTGGTAATTTTTAATGTAACAGGTTATCTATATATCAGAAATCCCAGGTACTGTAGGCCGTCTGTTCCTGTATTTCTTTAGATTACAGAAAAGGTCCTCTCTTGTCAAGCTATTTTATATCTAGAGCCAGAGAGGGACAGGTACAAAATGCTGGAAGCACTCAAGAGAACATTGGACAACCATCTGTCAGATCTGCTTTGATTTGGATTTCTGCACTTAGCAGGGAATTGGACTGGATGGCCTTATAGGCCCCTTCCAACTCAATTATTCTACAGTATAATTCTATGATATATAGCTATATATAGATATAGCTGTTCTGTACACACACACACACACATTACAAGAAAAAAGCTAAGCTAGAAACCTTTTATCAGTATGCCACCTGTCTATATCTAGAAATTTATTTTCATTTATTTGCAACAGGAAACAGGTAGATCTCAGATTTACAAGATCTACTTTTTCACAAGAACTTCAAGATCCACCAGACACAACCAGGAATGGGAGACATACACTTGGAATTAAAAGAGTGCCTCCAAGCACACTGTGGATTGAATTGTTTGTTTTCTGCACGAGAACTGAGTATGTACAAAAGTCTGTTTCCAGTTACATGAAGATTTCTTCATTCTAGCAGCCAAAGATAGGTGGGAAAGCAGGCCATTTAGCTGAGTTAGAAGTGGAAAGGAAAAACCTCTATCGATCTACTGCAAATCACCAAGATATCTACTAGTATATCCCCCAAACTACCTTTAACCCACCAATAATTTATAAATTGTTTTATTCCTCATTTCTTAAAACTGGTCTAATAGTGTCTTAAATATACAATTATTATCTACTAATACATAAAGATAGTAAATCTTAAAGTAATGTATATCTCCTTGATGCATTAAGTTTATGCTCCTGTAGGCAAAAACAAATAGATATTAACTGATAAATAACTTGAGATATGGTTTGGTTAATTTTTTCATATACAATGAAATCCACGTTACCTTCTCACCTGTGCACCTGTCTAAAGAAAAGAACAAGCTTAAATGATCATATTGAAGATGTCATTGAGGATCCATTGGCCACTATTGCTCAAAAGATATCTTACCTTTCTCTTCAAAATAAGGTTTTCTTCTTTGTACTCTGCCAACTGCTGTAGATAGTCAGATTTTAACCAAGCCATTCCATTCTTCAGCTGTGAAATCTCTTCATCTGCCTTTGCTAGTTCTAAGACAGCAGTCTTGTTGGCTTCCTGAAGGTCGTTGATCTGGCTTTTAAGATCCACTATGCATGAATAAGCAACACATACAATTGAAATGATACAGGGCAACTCAGAGCACTTTTGACCCCTGTTGTGTTTAGAGCTGCAATGTTATATGCATTTACCCTGAAGTATGTTTCATTGACCTCAATAGGACTTACCTCTGACAAGAGATGGGGTTATGGTGCAAATCCTTTCCAATGAAATAACAGAAACTTGAAAATGCTCTGCTTGCAGCCCTTCCTATTTGGAAGCTTACTTAGGGACACAGGAGAGGGCCTTCTCTGTCACTGCTCCCAGACTTTGGAATTCCCTTCCACAGGAGGCCAGGCTAGCCCCATGTCTGCTGTCCTTATGCAAGAAGGTGAAGATTTTTCTCTTCTGGCAGGCTTTCCCTTAATGATTGGCTACCTGAGTAGGGTTTCAAATGGATGGTTGTGTTCAAGTCACTTGAACCTTTTAATGGGTTCTGGTTGTGGTGGTACGTTTTGAATTTTTAAAAAAGAAAAATTTAAAATCTGAAATTTTACCAAAAGAATTAGCATTGAAATTTAGTTGCAGAAGCTTGTCTGGTGCAAGGGCTAGACGGAACAATTATTGCCATACTAACCCTTCTATGCATTAAATCACTTGTCCAATCTGCATCTTTACGACAGGGAAATTATTCATCCATAAAGAACATCTAGACAAAGTGTTAGCCCTTTTCTACTGCTGTGCCTCTACTGTGAAAGGTCTTAACAGGTGCTACCATTGCATGTTTTTCAGGTACTTTTATTTGTCCAGGCATTTTCAATTTTATGCACAGTTTTAGCTAACTAACTAATTTTCCTTGTCTTGCACAATGTTGTTTATTATATATAATTAATTTGGTTTGGTGCTGTTTTTCTGATGAAGGCACAGTATAGAATTTTGAAAATAAATAAAAATAAAACATTAATATGAAACTGATAACTCTTCTGAAAGATAACTCACTTCTGCTTACTATACTAGAAACACTGCTACTATACATCATTTTAGCAATGTCTGCACTACAAAGTAACTGTTCAGTGATACAGCATTATTTAATGCAGGGGTGCATCTGATCATCCATGAAAGTGGAAAGGTTAGACTGATACCAAGGTCCTAACATTCCACCTAGGTCACCGGACCAGAATTTGAATTCAAGGTTTCTCTTAGTTGGAAGGGGGAGGGAGACACAAGCACAGAGGTAAAGATATATGAAGCTTTATGTGCAATAAAAGGAATGGACCAAACAAGTTCTAAAGAGGGTCAATAATAACATTAACAATAATAATATTCAAAAAGTGTACAAAGAAAAGCAGGCCACAAATCACACAATCTCCAGTGTCTATACACAAATGCTAAGAATATGGAAAACAAACAAGAAGAACTGGAAATTTTGGCTCAGGAGGATAAATATGACTTGACAGGAATAATTGAAACTTGGTGGAATGACTCCCCTAACTAGAATACAGAAATTGAAGGATACATTTTTTTCAAAAAGAACAAAGTATAGAAGGGGCGCTGGAATTGCTGTATATGTAAAAAAAAAATACATATCCCTGCACAGAAATACAAGAGGAGAAGACTGGCTGTCCCATTAAGAGCATCTGAATCAGTGTAGTTGGAGCAAAAAAAAAAGGAACATGGTAGCTGGAGTTTACTACTGAACACTCAATCAAGAAGAAGATGCAGATGAAACTTTTGAAAAACAAATTGCAAGGATTTCAAAGAGACACAATGTAGTAGTAATGGGAGATTTCAGTTATCCCGATACCTGTTGGGAGGCAAATTCTGCCAAGTATGGCCCTTCCAAGAAATTCCTGGCTTGTGTGGCTGATAATTTTTCTTACAAAAAGTGAAGAAATTAGAGGATTAGTTATTCTTGACTTTATTCTAACCAACAGAGATGACTTGGTGGAGGAAGTAGCAGTAAATAGAAATCTGGGCAAGAGTGACTACGTTCTACTAGAATTCTTGATTTCAATGGAAATCTGAGCAAGAGTGACTGTGTTCTACTAGAATTCTTGATTTCAATGGAAAACAGAGCAGAGTGTAGCCACACATATATGCTGAATTTTTAAAAAGCCAATACTGTATAAGTGAACTCAGAACAAGGATAAGTAAGGTCCCATGTAGGAGATCCTAACGAGAAAAGGAGTCCAAGAAGAACGGGAGTTTCTAAAAAAGGAAATTCTAAAGGTACAACTACAAACAATACCAACAAGAAAACAAGGTGGGAGACAGCAAAAAAGGCTAGTGTGGCTTCACCAAAACCTCAGGGAGGACCTGAAAACAAAAAAAGGATACATATAGGAAGTGCAAGAAAGGCCAGGCCACAAAGAGTGTATAGACAAGTAGGAAAATTGCAGGGATGGCATTAGCATCAAATTTGTGGATGACACAACATTGGGTGGAATAGCCAACACCCTGGAAGACAGAAACAAAATTCAAAATGATCGAGATAAGCCAACAGTGTGATGTGGCTACAAAAAAGGCATTATTTTAGACTGCATTAACAGAAGTATAGTCTCCAAGTCCCATGATGTACTAGTTCCCCACTATTCGGCTCTGGTTAGGCTTCACCTTGAGTACTGTGCTCAGTTCAGGACATCACACTTCAAGAAGGATGGCAACAAATTGGAACAAGTTCAGAGAAGGGCAACAAGGATGATCGGGTGGCTGGAAACTAATCCCTATGAGGAAAGACTGAAAGAACTGGGCATGTTTAGCCTTGAGAAAAGACTACTGAGGGGAGAAATGATTGCAGTTTTCAAATACAGTGGTGCCCCGCATCGCAAAGCGATGCTTCCTATGGGGTTTTTTTTTGCTTAATGATTAGGTCCCTCCTTCGGGAACCGTTTTTTCGCTGGACGACCATTTTCCCAGCTGATCATCAGGTTTCTAAAATGGCCTTCTGCTGTTTTCCGACCCTTGTTTCGGAAGACAGGCATTAAAAACAGCTGATCAGCGCTCACAAAATGGCTGCCCTATGGAGGATCTTCGCTGGACGAGCAGGTATTTTCCCCATTGGAATGCATAAACCAGTTTTCAATGCATTCCAATGGGGATTTTTTTCGCATGATGACGATTTCGCTGTACAGCGAGTTTGACAGAACGGATTATCGTCATGCGGGGCACCACTGTACTTGAATACAGTACATTGAAAGGCTGTCATACAAAGAAGGAACAGGATCTGTTCCCAATCATCCTTGAGTGCAGGACACACAACAATGGGCTCAAGTTACAGGATGCCAGATTTTGGTTGACTATCAGGAAAAACTCCCTAACTGTTAGAGCAGTACAGCAATGGAACCAATTACCTTGAGAGATGGGAAGTGCTCCAACACTGGAGGCATTCAAGAGAAATTTACACAAACACCTGGCAGATATCCTTTGATTTGTATTCCTGTACTGAGCAGGGAGTTGGAATCGATGGCCTTATAGGCCTCTTCCTTATAGGTTGTTTCTACATTGGTAAACAAAAAGTATCATACAGACCGATGCACAGTAACACACATTGTAGCACAAATTAAAGGCACTGAATGCTGAATATGGAAATGAATATAGTACAATGCCTGCATACCAATCAGTCGCTGCAGAATTATAGGAGACTTGCATTCAGATTTTAGCAGGTTGAGACTGGGTTCCTCTTCATTAAGAACATCTTTCTCCTACAATATGAATTCATTTATATTAATATGTTTTGCTAAGAAAACATAAAACTTAAAATTTAGTCTGCTTTTTATTCGGTTGATTAAAAAACTAATTGCATTAGTGCTATGTTTCTCTTTTCTCTTGTTTATATACTTCCTTTCACTCTGTTCCTCTGGTGCTCTTCTCTGAACTTGTGTACCCCAATGCTTCCAGACTGGACCAAGAGTATGCCACAGCTCAGCCATGAGGCTGTTTTTAATACATCAAGTTCCTGACAATCAGAAGGATTCAGTTCTTGTCTTCTTCCAGAAGTAGTAGAACCGTACAAGCACACAGATTAATTAATTATACTACCAGTGATTCCAGTACAAGCTAATGTAATTCATCCATAGAGGGGAAAATGAAATAAGAGTGTTCTCCAACCCCTCTCTTTTGTGTAATTTTTCCTATAGGGTTATAAATTTAATGGAGTCTTATTCCGTTTGATAATATGCCTGCACAAAGGACAACAAGAAAGCATAGGTTGCGGCAGCAATTGCAAATACTGAGTAAAAAACAGGCACTCTTATTTGCACAGGGTTGTTCTCAAAGTTGCCACTTAAATACTAGCTCCTTACCATACTCAAGAAGCTCCCTTACAAGCCTAACAGCAACCTATCTAACACAGGACCTATGAGGGCATCTTCCACCATGTGGCACTGATTGAGTGTTGCAGCACCATACTTTGGCATCCAGAACCTATTTGGGGCTTCCTAGAACTAGAAATGCAAAGATCTGCAAAATTAAAAAACAATCCATACAAACTCTATCCATTAGGATTAGCATCAGGTACTAGTCCTGATGGAGTACTACTTCACTAAGTTAGCTTTCCTCTTTACATCTGCAATAGGTTGGCAAAAAGACTCAGATTGTTATGAGATTTATCACATCTGCAAGACCACCTTTGGGCAAACCTAATCCTTATGCTGCACAAACAGCTAGTTCTAGTGACATGGAGATGAAACAGGTTGCTTTTCCTCTTCTTCCAGCAGAACTAATTTCTCCTAATTGGTATCATGTGGAAAGAATATGAGGGAATAAATATGGAAAGACTATCAGGGAATAAATTTAGTGGGTTTTTTTAAAGACAGATCATTTACCTTCCTATAAAACATGGCATCATCAGCAAGATGCAGACTCTGTCCTTGTAAAAGCAGTTGGCTTTCAGTTTGCATCTTCTTCATGGGTTGATTATGTTCCTGTTTTCTCTCTATTCGAGATTTTAGCAGAAACTCTGACAAAACAGGGGACTCCCCTGTCTTTGCTGACTGACAACAACAACACAAAAACAAACCCAAAACCAAGTCAGGTGATATTTCAAGCATTTGATTTCACTTGTGCTAAGAAATGAGATCTATTACATGGTATTTCATATAATGAATTCTGCTGTTTTTCCATTTATTAAGCTGATAATAGAGATATTGCCGGGCTTATTTGTTTATGCATTACTACTACAACATTTGTATATTGTGGTACAGCTCCTCAATGGCTCTCAAAGCAGCCTAAAACCATCAAAATACATAAAATACAAATCTGCAAGATTATGAAATACAACAGTTCTAAGGATTTTACATCCAACGAAGATGGCTTTGAAACACAATTCAGATATGCAGACAGTAGATTCAAACCTGTTATTGCATGGAGAAAAACCCTTGTTTTTCATTATTGGAAATCTGGGAAAGAAATTACATTCTGGCCTCATAATATCTTTATCAGATCACTACGAAGAGGCAAACTTTCATGTTCTTTTTAATCTTGCTTGTAACTTTTAAGTGATGAACCTAGAATTTTGATTAATCTTCATGGATCACATGGTTATACCATATTTTTTTCTGTATAAAAAAAGTATGATCACTTACTTTTCCCTACTATTACTATCTCCATTTTGAGGGGTTTGTTCTTTACATTCTTGTGTTGGAGCATATTATGATGCAGCTTATTGTTATAATATTTAAAGACATAGTTGCTTTCTATTAAACTCAAGGAAAGGCAATCTAGTAACGTTTAGTAATATAACATGTGTGTTGTATTTCCATTTCATTTGCTGGACAGTACTAAGAAAACATATATGATGAGCTATCATATGTCATGTGTTTTTATGTACCCTGTTTCCCCGAAAATGAGATATATACTTAAAATAAGCCCTAGTATGATTTTTCAGGATGCTCGTAATATAAACCCTACCCCAAAAATCAGCCCCAGTAAAGTGAAACCCTGCCCTCCACCACTGTGCATCAACCAGAAGATGACATGATTGTATTTGAATCAAATGTAAATTGTACATGAAAACAATAAGGCATCCCCTGAAAATAAGCCCTAATGCGTTTTTTGGAGCAAAAATTAATATAAGACCCTGCCTTATTTTCAGGGGAACACGGTAATATATGTTACTTGAGGAAAAACAAGATACCAGGCTGCTGTTTTTGTGGCAGCTACTTGTCCCTAATAATGTGTTGATTTCATCTTAAGCATCCTATAACTTTCAGGGTGATTCAGCAGTTTTAAGTCAAAAGATCTTAGTGTAACATTGTTAAAATATGGTTCACAACAATGCATGAGAGCCCAGCATTCATGGAATCTAGTGCACTGCATCTAGATCACTGCATTTGTGGAATGACACAGTGTAACACTAAAACATTTTTTCTGTATTTGTGCAACATGCTTTTCCACCAGTCTGGGATGGAATCACAATCCACCCCATCTGACTATGCCCCAAATGGATATTCTAGAAAGCAATGCATTGATTTTAACTGACAGCCAAGAGAAAGTTCTTCATTGTACAAAGTGAAGATACATTATCTTACACATAGGTAGCAAAGATGTGCAGATTTATGTTTGGGGGCTTCAGTTCCCAGAGGTTGCCAGGCAGCTCTGCTGCCTGGGAAGCCCTGAGACTAATAGTCCAAAACCTCTGGGAGTAGCAGTTCAAACATATAAATCTGCACATTTCTTTCAGGTACTACCTTTATGGTCAGGGAAATTTTCTTAATTTTAGCATCATTTCTATGTCAACAATGTATTTCTAGTCAGACTTATTTTAAATGAAGCATAACAAACTGATCCTTAAATCTGTATATAAAAAAGGACACACTCCTAACACACAGAGATAAACCTTGCACTCCTCCTCCTCTCTTCAAATAGCTAATGTCCGCATGTGCTAATCCTTTGAAAATACAGAAACCAAAATGACTACAGGGACTAGTAAGAGCTCAGAGAAGATTATACATAAATATGGCATGAAAAAAGGTAATATACTGGAGCGTCACAGTGTTTTTAAAATGAGAAGAAACACTACAAGCAGATTTCTGAAATATGTTATTAGGACAAATGCAATTAAGCTTCTACTTCTAAAATAATTCACCTTCTTTTAAAAAAAACATGCACCAGTAGATGACCATGATTTGGATTCTGCTTGCAGAAGAGCCTCATGTAAGCAAAATTACAGTATAAATTTCATGCATCCCTTGTTCATTGAAATACTTTCTATTAATGATTAGAAAGGGCTATTTTAAAATAAGTGACTAGCACAAAGCTTCTGTTTTTGTTTTGGCTCTGATTGTTGCTCTATTCAGATTTTATAAAAAGAAAATCCCCATTTAGCAATTGTACCCATTTTACCTCCAGTTTTATTCAGTTGGCCAGCATTCATGCTTCCAAACTCATGCTTCCCAGCAATCCTCCTATAATGGCACTGTCCTTCATTGACATCCAGAAAAGGCTTTTGTGTTGAGAATCTAACCATCAGCAAGCCAGAAGGCAGGATTTTGTCAAAAGGCATAGCTTGAACAGCTGCTGCCAAAGTCTGGTTTAACATACTGAATGCATAGAAATCAAGGGAGTTTCTTCACAGCACAATACAGCCTCAAGGTACATTGGTTATTGTAATATACCATCTAGACTTTAAAGAAGACTTGTGCCTTTCTCTCTGCCTATAATTACAGTGATCCCTATAAATAACCCATGTTCTTAACTCCTCTGTTTTCCATTTTATGCTTTGTTTTATGGATTTCATGAGATTTTTAAAAATTACATAGGACCATTTGTATACTTAGATACTGAACATGGGGGGGAGTCATATATGTATTTGCTGCATGTGTGCTGGAGTTAATTAATGAAGCAGCAGATGGGATGGATGCAGAACCAGACATAATTCAGAGACAAGGACAGGGAACATTGCTGGTGGAAATATGTTTCTGTCCCCTATTGTCCTCCTCCTAAAACAAAAGTGTGTCATGAATTTGATGCCTCTCTTCTGTGTCCGCCCAGTCTTTATTGTTAAGTAAAATGCATCCACACAAAGTAGATACAGATTATTGTCATAGCCTATAGCCCATCTGAATAGCCTGCAAAGATTTAAATTAAAATTGACCTTATGATGCAATTATTGTATTTGTTTCTTCTTACTGCAAGCTGACTACAGCAGCCTTTGTTGTTCAATACATTACTCAATACCCGCTCATTGCTTACGGGATGTGATGGCATTATACAGCACTGGTAGCACCACATATGTGAACTGCCCTCCCCTGAGAAGCTCGTCCAGCACATATGTTATGGTAATAGGTAAAGATCCTTTTATGTCCCAGGTATTTTAAGAACTGCCTGGGACATCTTTATACTATTTTATTTTTGCTACTGCTTTTCTTTTGACTTTATTATGTAGCATGTTCATTCTACTCCTTGTGATAGGTTTTATCTTGTGCTATTTGAATACCCTTGTTTTATTGTGATTCACTATCTTTGTTTGCCATTTCACTGTACCCTGCCCCAATATTTTTGATAACTAGGCAGTCTAAAGTGAAACAAACTAACTTCAAGCAACTTACATTCTAATGCCATCTCTTATTTGTATTATTATTTCAGATCTGAGAGTTCTAAGTAGAGTTCACCAACTTATTGGGGACAGGGCTCGGAAACCCAGCCAGACCAATGCTACCATTTAGATGAATTTTCATATGCCTAATTTGATCAAATGTCTTCATTCTTTGTTGTTGTCAAACTCAGTTCCCTCCCCCCCAATTATTTATTATACTTTTTTTCTACCAGCACTAAACCTATCCAGTGATCCTGTATGAAAATAATTTGGTACTGTTGCAAGTATAACTTGTATGGTATTTAATTATTAAGTATGGTATTTAATTATTAAGTACCATAGTAGGTCAACAGAATTAACCCAGGTATTCAATATTCAAAACATATGCAGTACTTGAATTTACACTACACTCATAAAAGCACATCTTTTATTAACCTCATGATTACTAGAATGGCATTCCAAGACTGGTGATGCTGAGGCATTTTGTAAATTCTTTGATGAAGCAGCTGTCGTCCGAATGTGGTTGATCAAACTTGAATCCTGTTGATTGACAGCTAAAAAGGGACACAAAGAACAATAGCATTACACTGGTGAATTATTTAATAATTCAACAAAAGTTAGGAAAATATCCTTGCTACCTGGACTTTTTTTGGAAAAAATCCTTGGAAAAAACCTTGATGTTAGGAAGGTGTGATGGCAAGAGGAGAAGGGGACGACCGAGGATGAGATGGCTGGACAGTGTCTGCGAAGCAACCAACATGAACCTGACACAACTCCGGGAGGCAGTAGAAGACAGAAGGGCCTGGCGTGCTCTGGTCCATGGGGTCACGAAGAGTCGGACACGACTAAACGACTAAACACACACACCTGGACTTTGTGCTTGATTAACTTGTGTTCCAATTTCCAGCCACTTCTCTGTCCTAGGGCACAATATGGTCATGCACGGCAACCCATCAGAAGACTGCTTTAGACAGTTTACATCTTCAGAGCTGGGTGATCCAATAGGTACTGTGGGAAAAGCTGTTTTGGAAAGTGTAGTATAAGCAGCATTTTGATTATGGCTAAGCACAGGGCGACACACTTTGAAAGCAACTTCATCTCCAATTATATCCGCTACAATATCTTGATTGTTGTCAGATGTTAGCTTATATCCTCCATCTGTGCCTTCTTGAGTGTTGCCTGAAAAATATGCCAGTGTGTCCTGTGACCGACTAGATCTCAAAACCTTCCATTCAAGAGGCAAGAGAGATTGACAGGAGGTTAAAGATATTACATTATCAGCGGAGCCTCCTATCCGGTATCGGGAGCGTTTCAAAGATCCTTCATCCTGGCTAGGTAAAGTCTGTGAATCCCAATCTGTTATCTGGACAAGCAGCTCTTTCATTGCTGACTCTTTTCCTATTTCAGGCTGAATATTATCCCTTGTGATAACATCATCTTGGGCATATGTGTTATGCACTGGAGAAGTCTTAGTCTTCAGGCAAGCTCCCTTCATTAAAGCTTCAGGATTTTCTTTGCTTGTATTTAATGTTGGATCCATGATTCACAAATTTCATCAAGTGCTGTTTTTTCAAACCCTAACAGAAAAATAATATTCATTTCAAAGGGCAGATATGTTTGTCTGATATTTTCAGTATTCTACATTCATAAAAAAGAACACCCTCCCCTATTCTTGTACTGTTGAATTTTTATGCCAATGTATTCATGCTAGACAAAATATAGGGAAATGCGGGGAAAACACCTCTTTCTAACCAGTTCCAATAAAGGGCTGAATAGAGATGGCCACAAACCTCAGTCTGGATGTTTGTGCAGGTTCGTGTGCACAGCACCACAAGTGCTGCACATTCCCCCTGCCTCCCTGACCAATGACCCACTCACCAGTCAGAGTGTGCTCCTCTCTTCCTCCTCTTTGGTTGTTTAACCAGTCCCTAGCAGTAGCATGGATTTGCCTGTCTTGCCTCCTTGTCTGAGTGGGTGATCAGCCAAGGAAGTGGAGGAGGGAAGCCTATCCTCCCATTGGAGACTGATTGAACAGCTGTAGAGGAGAAGGATGTGCAACAATTGGTGAGTAGGGGATCCAGACAGGGAGGTGGGAGAAGCGAACATGCGGCACCTGTGATGCCAGGCATATGAAGTGGCAAGAATCTCTGAAACAAGGTTTGTGCCTATCTCTAATACTGACTAAAGTGGAGATGGTAGGACTCCTCCCTAAATATATTCTTGGCTCTCCTTTTTTTTCAGTTTTAGGAGTTTTTAAAAAATGCCATCATGCCTTTGTCTTTACTTTCTGATATGGCAAAGTAATTAACTCAGCTGTTTCATGTTCTGCTCATATTTTACTGATTTTGGGAGCAACCCTACTGAAAGGACAAGAAACATCTGGAGAACATCCAGTCAATCAACTTCTTTGGATGTGTATGAATATTTATTCCCCCTCTCAACGTATTTTCCCTCTTTAATGTATTTCCCCTCCAGGGAGAAAGAAAAGAACTACATCAGTACTTTTTTCTTTTGGCATCCCAGGGATGTGTCTCCTCCCACAAAGAGAAGGCTTGCAATTCAGAGGGAAGTTTCCCCCAGTGTGCCAACAATTGTGCTCTCTGACGCTATTCAAAGAAAATCCATATAAAAGAATATTTTTGTCTTTATAATTTCTTCTTTACAGCTCCCACAGCAACATCAGCATAAGTATTGAGGTTTTCTATTTATTTATTTATTTGTAATATTTTGATATAATTGCATTTCCTCCTTTTAGTATAAAGCATAACTCTCTTCTCAACACATTATCCTTACATCAACCCTGTGTGAGGCAGGTGAAGCTATTGGGAGAATAATTGGTCCAAAGGGAGTAGAACTGAGGTCACTTGTCCCAGTTCACACTGGTATATTACATATTTGGATCATTAAACCAACAGTTTGACATACAAGAAGTTTGATAGGATGGCAATATGCCTTGACATTGCCATGCAGTTTGGTTTTATCTAGGATTGATTTTCTCACATTACTAACTCTGTGTTCAGAAGTGAAGGACTGAAGACAGAAGTACTGTGATTGAGTTACTGTTTTTGCCACCTCCTGCCAAGGAAACAATAAGGATGATTTAAAGGATGAATGCAGACCTGGCCTCCCTGTTAAGGACACCACAGCTTAAGAGATCAGACACGTTTCTTCAAGAAACAAATATAGGTCATAACCTTAGAACTCCTTTAAGAAAGTAGCACTATCCTATGGTCATTTATATCCCCTCATGATTAAGCAATATCTGAAAACACATTAGCTATCATTAAAAGTAACCATTTCAGCTTAATAGGACAGTGTTAATTAGCAGAGTATTTATGTATTAAACCACATTTAGTGATATTTAACTGTTAATGATTTGTGTCTGTGGCAATTATTTCTTAATATAGTTTAAGAGTAATTTTTATGAGCATGCAATAACTGTGTTGTTCAAGCTAGACTGAAGTACATTTAAGAACATTATCATAAATTAAAGCAGTTAATGAGACTTAATTTATGGGCAGAAAATACATATAACGTTGGAGTGTTTACTCATCTGTGGTAAAGCTGAGATACAATATTATAATCCTCTGTAGAATAAATTAATTTAAACATTAGGTTATTATTTATGGCTATTCTTTCGTAACTGTTCTGAGCAAAAATAATATTCGAATATTCATTTTTTCCAATTGGCATAACTACAGGAGAAAACACGCTTGGAAAACTAAGACTTCAGTAGTCAGCTTTTGTAATTACTTGTTAAGGTGTTTGCAAAGATTAAGAAGTATCTAATCCCCATCGAGATTTCTGTCTTGACTTGTTAGAGTACAGTGTATCTCCATGCAAGTACAGTACTGCAGAGGTTTGACCTTTTGTATTTGTATGTACAGTAATACTCTAGTTAGTGCTCAGGATATGCTCCTCGAATACGTAGTGCCAACCAAAACAGTGATAAATGGGACCAATATAAAGTTTAATTTATTAGACACGTGAAGATGCAAATGAAAGTTTTCTAGTCCCAAACCAGTTCCATGTCTATGGCACTAGAGGAAGAAAAGAGGAGGGGGGAAGCAGAATAGAGAAAAGAGGGAGTATGTATTGTGTGTGATGCAATTCTCAGCCTTATTTTGAAAGCCTTTTAAGGGCAAAACTGTTTACACCTCAGTCAAGGGTAACTGTCATGTTGAAGCTCAGGAATTCACTGCTTTCAAGCATACTATGTAGCCCTAGTAATATATCTTGCATTGATGGGAAGTAAAGACAAGAAGAGCTGGTAACACAGGAAATCCAGGAACTGGATTAGACTGGAGGATTAGAGTTGGTTCTTAAGAAATAGTGTTTTTCTCAGTTTCAGATGAGTATGAATGAAGTGCAGCCTTTGAAAAGTTGCTGGACTGTAGCTTGAACAATAGCCGTCATAGCCAATGGCGAAGAATGCTGGGAGCTGCAACAGCCTTGCAGCACTTTGGTTAAAGGGCAGTACTGCTCACAACCCATGTTTGATCCTGGGCTCAGGTAGCCATCACACTTGGAAAGCTAAGGATTGCATCACACTCAACCTTCCATTCTTCCAATGTCAATAAAGTGAGTACCCAGCTCATGGGGAGGGGGGCAACATATACAGTGGTGCCTCAACTTACGACTGTCCCGACATATGACCATTTCGAGTTACGATTAGCTCCGGCGGCAAAATTTTGCTTCGACTTGCAGCCGGAGCTTCGAGTTGCGATCAAAAGAGGCAGGGAAAAAAGGTGGGAAATTCAAATTAGAGGGCTAACCGTTGGTTGGCGAAGAGCTGCTTCTTTGTAGCTCTTTCGCCCCAACAGTTAGAGTGTGTGTGTCAGAAGAGGCTTCAGACTGCCTGGTGCTGCTTTCTGGTTCTGAGTAAGTACATTTACAGGGTTTTGCAGGGTGGGTTTGGCTTGGGGTGGTTATGTTTCTGTGCTGTGAATTTGTGTGTGTGTGTTTTGGTGTGTTGTTTTTTTAAAGCCACAGCGCCTTCCAGTGGGGCTTGCTGTGTGCTTTATTTTTGGTTATTTATTTTTTTAAAGCCCCAGTGCCTTCCAGTGGGGCTTTCTGTGTGCTTTATTTTTGATTTGTTTTTTTAAGCCCCAGCGCCTTCCGATGGGGCTTGCTGTGTGGTTTCTTTTTCAATTTTTTTGGGGGGGGCAGAACAGATTAATCACATTCCAATGCATTCCAGGGGAAAATGGTGCTTCGACTTAAGACAATTTCAAAGTATGTCCATCTTCTGGAATGGATTATGGTCGTAAGTCAAGGCACCACTGTGCCCTGGATAATTAAATTTTAAAGCCCCCAGAGAGTACTTTGAATGCTATAGGGTGGAATATAGGTAGCACACATTTTCAAGCAACAGCTGGAAGGCTACACTTTGCTCATCCCTGTTTTAGACTATCTTATAATTATATTCTTATGTGCTGTCAAGTTGTATCTGATTTATAGTGACCCAGTGCCAAGTATGTGAGATAGTTAAGGAGTGGTTTTATCAGTTTTCACCCCTTCCATGGCTGGACAGGGATTTGAACACAGATATCTTGAGTCCTACTTTGCCATTCTAACCACTACATCACACTAGTTCTCATTATAATGGTTGTCAACATTATACCAAAAGAATTTTTCACTAAAATAAAATTTCAGGTCACAGGAAAAAGAAAATTAACATAATCAAAATGCTGAAAATGGAATGTAAAGCGGTAAGAATAGAACAGGTAAAGATGCAAAGATTCTGGACCCTTATACAGCAGTTCTCAAACTTTAATCCATTGTGGATTAGAGTCTGATAACTTTAGCCAAAAATAACTGGCATCAGTTTGGAACCTCTAATTTCAGTTGTGATTCCATGCTTGTGTGTGTGTGTGTTTTGTGTGTAGGTCTCTCTGTGTTACTATATGTACATATACTTATGCAGAAGATGTTCCTTAGGATATAAAGAGCCAAATGTCAATCTGTGACATTGGAATGTAGACATATGCTAAGAATTAAAGAACAGGTTCCTACCAACCAAAGACTTAGATAACATTGATCTAAATATTTTGACTTTCAGTACAATAACTAAGCACAGTTCTTTCACACAAAATTTTCCTGTTATTCCCCAATTTAGAAATAATAAACAGAATGTTTTGCCCTCATCATTTGTAAATAAGAGGAAATTAGAAACCTGCTGATATGCTAATCACCGCAAGATCTTGAGTTTCTTTGTATCACCACCACCTTAGGCAACAGACTAGTTCATTGCTAGCCATGAAGTGCCTCAGTGCTTAATGGCTGAAATCCTGTTGCTTAGCATACTGTAGTAAGTTGCACTAGAGTATCCCACTGATTAAATGAACCTACTTGAGTCTGACTTACTCTGCCAAGCAGTATTAACATTCATTAATATTATACAAATTAACATTCATTAATATTATACAATATTGAAATGTGTAGAGATCTGAAACAAAAATCTTCTGTAAGAAGCTAACGTGCTCAAGACATAACTATTACAAAGGACTCATGGCCAAATAAGGTGTGACTCTTGTACCTCACTTCTGAGAGCAACTGTTACTGAAAATGCAATGAC